AATAATCTAATGAAAAGATATTGATGAGGGTTTTCAGAAGGAATTCATCAATAGATATTTACTCATTTGGATGTTTGAGACCTGTAAATTATGAAATGGCGACTGTGAGGCAATCTTGGAATTTTTGAATAAGGTTAAATTAATGTATGTTGTGCTGACCATCCACACCTAGTTTCATAAAGAGCACTGCTTAGTATGGTACAATCGTCTTAAATAACTATCAAAATTTCGACCGATCAGGGGACTCCATTCCATTGGTATTGTAATAAAATGTTCTTTGTGTGCAAAAAATATATTTAAATATCCCTTTTAACGAAATCGAACAACCAGATTTCGACCACTCAGATGTTCAGTTATATTGCCATGATGGTAAGAAAACATATTCGGGTGAGTCCTGAAATTCATTGTACCTAAATACTGTAGAAGTGATGTTCCAGAGGACTGGAGAAGTCGAGCTGCTTTCACTTATTAGGTACATGAGTTGTACATGACGTCACAGCCAAGAGTATGCTGCTGTCCCTGTCCCATGACAAATGATTAGGACATCATTTTGCTGGGGGGAGGAAGTATGTAGTAGGTGTTAATTCTGCAACTTGTAAATATGTAAGTATTTTTAATGTAGATTTCAGCTTGTTGATTCAACAGAGGGTTGTGTCAGTTCCTGGTTTCCTGTCCATCATCAGTTGTGTCCTTATCAGTATTTGCTACTGATAAGCTTCTATTGGGTCAAAGGTCAATGGTCCAGTCTATTTTACTTCTAAAGGTGTTTTGTTCTATTGTTTAGTCGTCATTAGGTTTACCTATTGGTAGCCAATTAGTATACCTTTCAATTCAAATCGCTTTCTCACCTGCCATTGGTAATCGTATGCTGCACACACACCTGCACTGCACAGCAAGTCATAATGGATTGAAGTAATCAAAGTTAGTAATCATAATGAATCTATATCAATCTAAACATAATGCTTTCAATCATAGTTATAATCAAGTACATAACTAATAAAATAGGTTTTAAATAACTTGTAAACATAAACAACGATAGGTTGAGTGAATGAGGTGAGTGTGATGAGATTAGGGTCTGATTCATGAGTATTGCTTATCTATACATATATTTTATATTTCAATGCATTGGTTATTTGGTATTTTGTGTATTTTGGTATTTGATGCTATTATTTAGCAAATCTGGTCTATTTCCAGACTTTGTACATATCTATCTGGAGGTATGCACGTATTTATTGATAGTTGTATGAATGACTGAAGTAGTATTTCAGTGATGCATGTGTATGCTGTGATTATTTATATGTTATTTACAATATTATAATTAATATTGTATCTGTATTAAGGGTCATGTGACTGTCGAATGAGACGACTGGCAGAAAGCATGTTACACTCTCGTGTCACACACAGGGTATGTTTTGCATATAGTTTATCTATATAATATGTTCATGTCGTGCATTCATTATGCATAATATGATTTAATGATTTTACATCTGCACTGATTAGATTTAGTATCGAGGCAGAAATATATTTGTGTATCTACTGTAATGATGTAATGAGTTCTTAAGAAGGAGATCAACACTTAACATTTAATGTGTTAATGTGCATCGATTCTGATATTTTGTGATTTTAAATTGTTTCAGGAGTGTCTTCTTTATGCCTTTGCTGAATAAACTGATATTCTCACAACCTCGTGGACTGTAATCACTTGACGACTAAGGGTTACACATAAGGTCTACAATAAAACCAAATTTGAATGAAATCTCTGAATATCGATTAATCAGCTCTGCAGATACCCTAACCGTTTCCATGGAAGCAAGTTGGTAACGTAAATACAGTCATATTGTATAGTGTCTCTAGATACACCTTTGTACCAAGATGTAACAAATTCGTCAGTAATGACCCATAAAGAAAACCTACAAATAACGACCAGGTTGTCGCTTTTGAGAGGTTGATGGAATATGAAAGGTGCAGTGCACTTACACAAGTTCCATCCCTCTAGTTTTTGTTGTTCCTGAAGGAAGAATATATTCTATTACGAATAATTAGTCTTCACTTTATTCAATTCTTGTAGGAGATGGGGCCTATTTGTAAAAACGAAATACAATTTACGTGCAAACAGTATATAATACACCACATTCGGCATATTATCAAAGTTAGATTATATGTGTTCTTACAGCATTGGCGTAAAGCAAGTACGTTTCTGTATTCATATTGATAATAGAGTCTTGAGATGACAGTAGTGTATTAAACTTAAGAATATTTGAAAAGATGGAAAAACTTTGCCTCAGATGGCTGTAACATCGTAAAACTAACAAAAAGTGAAATTCATTTTCGATATGGTTTAGGTTACAAACTTTATATTTTCTAAATTCACGAGGAATATTGAAATGTCGTCCACGTTCAATTTCTAAATTCTGAGAACTGAGCCGAAAACTAGTCAATGTGGTCCTCAGTCTATTTTCAGTTATACTACTCAAATAGTGGTCACATGAAATGGATGTTTTAAATTGTGCATAATAAGCCATTTGAGGCTTTCATATAAATCACTATCACAAATCTGAAGAAAAAAAAATTAACCGCTGACGTAACATATCTAAAAATATGGTTTAATTACCACATGTTTGAAAGTACCAGACATCACCTCATCCTAATCTGAAAATAACAGTTTTAAGTTTCGTTACCCAATTAACGTGGCTTTGTTTATCGAAAAACCGCAACATATTGTGACATTTTTGGGGGTGAACGAGATTTCTGCATATTATAAAGAGACAGCCAATGTTTGACACATTTCACAACAGCGAGCGACTGAATAGACCATCTGCCAGACTCGGTTCACTGAACCCCCAAATATCAGGCCCGTACAAAAGTATTGGTGTTATCTTTATATCAAAACATTTGAAGTAAAAGTGAGGCGAGTATGGTTTCAAGGAATGTATAGTTACTAATTAACAGGACCATGAACACCTTTCTTGCCCGAATTGCACTATTATTTAAGCATTCGACCTCAGTAATCTATTGCTAAAATACAAGCCAAGATAACTGTATCCAATAACTACTTCATACGTATTTCCATCATAATACCATTTTTTGATAACGTGATAGCCCTCCCCTATCTTTGAAAAACAACTATTGTTGTTTTCGATAGATTGACTGGCATTTCCCATTTACAACAGTCATCATGCAAGATATTCAACATCATTTGTTCGTTGTAGACAATGAACACAAGCATTTATATTACTGTACATGGATTGTAACATTTAATCCATTAAAGCACTCAAACCATGATTGTACATTGGCTTCCACAGATGTCGCCAAGGCCAGCTGATTAATTGTTTCTTGGCACTGATACTCTCAAAAACTTCGGATCTGGTTATTGGGGATTTTAATATGTCAATCATCAGTTCTTGCACATAACCTTTAAATGTCTCTATGTCCTCCACTTCACCAACATTATCCTGAATACCCATTGGTTCAGAATTCAGCGACGAGAAATAGTTCCCCCAGTCTCGTATATCAATAGGATTGGGTCGTTGCGGTCGTCCAGACACACGCTTTATGATGTCCCAGAATCGTTTAGAGTCTACCGCTGCTGCATTTTCTAGGTCACTCTTTTTACATTGTGCAAACTGGTCCTTCTTGATTCCACACAGTTATCTGTATTCAGTGCAAACTTTGTTAAACTTAATAAGGTATGAGGTTATCTTTAGTTTTATGTATAAAAAGTTTAACATTAAGAGTCAATACGTCACCCTTAAAAATGTACATAACGGGTAATTTTTACATTAAGGGGTGGAACAATGTAGCGACCAGCACCATCACAGGGCTATGGGGTCGGTTTCAATAGCATGGGTCAACACGTGATCGGGCAATGTCGGGACGACCAAGAGTAACCACCCCGCCGAAGATCGCTACATCCGACTGCGCCACCTACGTGAAAGGACGATCACAGCCACCTCAACCGAATCCCAAATGCCAGGACTGCGCAGAACGTTCTACCAGACCGTATGAAATCGTTTAAGAGCACCAGGTATACGAGCAAGACGTCCTGTTCGACGCGTCCTGAGTCGACAACATCGTCAACAACGACTGTCTTGGTGTCGTCAACATAGGGTATGGAGAGATGTCTGGTTCAGCGACAAAACAACATTTCTCCTCGAGGGGATGGAAGAGCACGGATCTACAGACGTCGGGGAGAACGTTACGCCGGGAAATGCTTACAGGAAGTGGAAAGGTTTAGTGGGGGTAGCGTTATGATGTGGGCGGATATCTCTCATCATGGCAGGATAGGTTTGGTCCATATCCAAGGCAATCTTACGGCTCAACGAAACATCAACGAAATTCTCCTACCACACGTCCTCCCAAATGCAGCCAACGGCAACGGTGTATTCCAGCATGACAACGCTCGACCGCATACAACACGAATCACAAGAGCCTGTCTACACAACAACAACGTTGATGTTCTCTCCTGGCCCTCCAGGTCCCCGGATTTAAACCCGATAGAGCACCTGTGGGATGATTTGGATAGACAGCTACGCCGTTGAAGGCCGAGTGGGCTATCATTCACCAGGATGTGATTCGCTTACTCGTCTTTTTCCATGGGCAGGAGATGTCAGCCCGCTATCGATTCCAACAGGGGACATACCTGTTTTTGATTGTAGCTGACCTTGGACCTTTCCTATATACCGATAAGTGAGATGACTACAATCACCAAGTGTTCTCTCCGCAACATTTTGGCTCAATACCTCGTACGGTTCCTTGTATAAATGTATGCGTTTTTTAAAGAGTATATTACCAATTGTATACAAATTTCAATCGTGTTTACTGGATGACCCTCGTCATTCTTGCTGAATGAACTCGTCTTATTAAGGAAATAACCTATACTAATAACCATGCAGTAGGGAATTTTAAACCTGGGAAATCATGATTCCACCAGAAGAGAATACTTACTACGTGTCAACACGTGTCTGGCTTGTGCCAGTCTCTATATGTTTCAAACTACTAACCTCTGTGCTCCGGTCGTTTTCTCTGTTGATTGACCCTGTCAGGATCCGACCAACTCCTGAGAATTGAGGAGGGGTGCAGCATGGAGTATCTGTCTTTGCGGTTGTCACGAAAGTTACCATAACTATTACAGAAAGCTTTGCGCTCAACATGATTGACGACGAAGAAGGCAATATTTAAGCGAATCACTCCACACAGCTGCTTATCATTCTTATCAGTGATCGTCTGTCATTCCAAAAATAACGACGAAACATTTTATCGGTAGAGTACAGTAGGGGTTATGTCTTGACAAAATTAAAGACAACACTCATGTGCAGATATATCCACACTGCATCACAAAATTTTTAATAGTTTTTTTATGATATTCTCCAGCTGTGAACGTCATACGTGTAAAACTGTTCAAATCGCTGATTATTTTCAATGACGCTAAAAGCTAACCTGGCGTTATCATTTTTCAGGGATCCTAAAAAAATTAAAACGATTTAAGCTCCGTCATGTGCAGACACACCTTCACTGCAATTTTCATTACAAATTCACTGGCAGTTATAATGCTATCGTCTACACTGAAGGCACATGTGAATAGGTTCAAATCGTTGGTGTGTTGCAGTGATGCTAAATGTGAGGCTCGCGTTGTCATTTTGCCGGGGGTAGTTAAACCAAATTTAACATGAAGATTGGCCAGGTACAATGGCCAGGTGAAAATTTCAATGATAACGTCCAATCTGTAAAACGCCATACTTTTGAAAATGAGTAAAACAGCAAAATTTAGTCCAAAAGCACTGTAATTTTCATTATAAAAAACTGATATGTTCAATGATTTCTTTCACGTTGTAAAACGCCATACATTGGAAAATGTTCAAATCCCTTCTGTTTTCAGTGAAGCTATAAACAAGGCTAACACCATCACTTCTCTCAGTACAACATCAATTTTTTGGCAAATGTCGGCCTAGCGAAGGTCCAATCACAATGCAATTTTCATAATCAATTTGAGATATGTTCAATGATAGCATTGGAAAAAGTTTAAATCCTTTCTGTTTTCAATAAAATTATAAACACCATCATTTCTCTGAGTACCACAGCAAAACGTTTGGCTTAGCGAAGGTCTAAACACGCTGCAATGTTCATAAACCGATTCTGATATTTTTTAAGATACGAGGGGTGTTCATTAAAGATGTCCCCTGACCCATGGCCACTTCCGGTGGACCTAGTGGAATGAAACTTGGCATAGGTATTAGTCTTTCTCCACATAGGAACCACCAAGAGTTACACACTTCTCCCATCGTTTTATGCAACTATGGAGACCTCGCTTGTAAAAGCCCTCATTTTGCATCTCAAACCAGGACTTGACTTCAGAAATCAGCGTTTCATCATCTGTGAAACGTTTTCCCTTCAAAAATGACTTCATGGTTGGAAAGAGGTGGATGTCAGATGGTGCAAGGTCAGGAGAGTAAGGAGGATGTGGAAGGATTTCATAGCCACAGGACCGCGCTTCTGTCTGGGCAACATGAGAGTTGTGTACTGGAGCATTGTCTTGCAGGAGACGGACACCCTTGGTCAGCATGCCACGCCTCTTAAGCGTCCCGCAATTTCCGCAGCAGTGAAGCATAATAAGCTCCTGTAATTGTGGTACCCTTTGCCAAGAAATCCATCATCACACTGGACAAAATATCATCCATTCTAAACAATCCAAAACTTGGAAATACCACCATTCCAAATGGAAATATGACCATTCCAAAATTTGTCAAGGTCATATTTCCAAGCTTGGATTTGTTTGGATATGGTTGGAAACATGTCATAATCATATCTGTTAAACGTTGTACAACTTTTGACTTTATGTGAGATTAGTAATGACATGAAAGTAAATAATTAAGAGTATTTTGGTACTATTTACCACGAAAAGAACAAATCATGAGCAAATTTAACTAAAAGAAATTCTGTCATTTAAAGTGGCTACACTTTATATTCAATTTTTTATCTTCCTTGTCTATAATCATATGTCATTGACTATGAACTTTGAACAATTAAACAAATATTTTGTTTTCCCATACCGACTTACGGTTGTCGTAGAACAAAGACCGTTTCCAGAATAGAGGGCCTCATTATTATAATTTGAACTAATATACATATGTACATAATAGTACTAGGTATAAATGAATTTTGATAAGTGTTCGTACAAGAATATGAACTTCGAATTATCTCGGAATTATGCGCAACACATAGGGCTGAAAATTTTATAATTGGTCTGGAACAATCTGACGGAAATTCAAAACAGGGAACAAGATTTCGTCAAATGAATCATTGAGCCAGGAATGCAACGATTTAAATGCTGACAAAATGAATAAACATATGTGGAACAGAGTAGACTGTTCATGCAGACAGTTGTATGCTACGTCTATTGCCAATGAAGTTTATCACCCCATGTTATAGCATTTGTTTCATATAAAAGATAGAAGCCAAATAAATGGGACAATTAGTTGTTATGAATTAGCTTTACCTCTGTGACATATTACGCAACTAAAGGTGAATATGTTTATCAAATAATCAATTACAGTAATTAACCTAGTGTCCTTATTAATACACAATTTAATTACGTATTGGGGTACAATATATAATACACATATACACGGAATGATTTCTTATTTGGTCAATTTAATCATAACCCAAATCATACAAATCGAACATGTGAAAATAAAAGTAGTGACTAACTTTATGATCAAGGGTATAAATACTCAATTGTATCTATTAATCCTTATAGTATAACAATAAATCCTGTGTATTTACTGAGCATATTTAGATACATCCGGATCTACGACCGCAGTCATATAATCAATCAAGGAAAGTATATAAATAAAGTTCTATTCTGTTCTGAAGATGCGGTCATGATTAGTTGGCGCCAGTCTAGACTGTCCAATCAACGTGAATATACAAACCGTGATGTTACTGACCAGTTGATGACACCTGTCAACTCAAAGTGCCTCTAGTCCTCCACCAACCATGTGTAATACTTTAGCGCACTTGATTGTTTTATTTGCAGTTTTATTTCCTCGGATTCGGACAAGACAACATAAGGCAACTGATAAAATAAAATATTTATTGTTTTTGGGTTGATTGGGGATTCCCGTAGAGCCGGTAGCACCCTGTTTATTGACAAAATAGAACGGTACTGCTTTACCCCGATGGGTAAGCTAACTAAGGGTGTGCTACGTGACAGAATTGAGATATGCCTTCAGTCGGCTGTAGTCTGACGCCAGACAACCGATACCCCGACGGGTATAACTTGCTACAGATGACAGTGTAGCTGGTCAACGATACCCCTAGCTACATACTGTGTAGCCAACCGACAATACCCCGGCGGGTGTAGCCGACTGAAGGTGTATGCCCTACCAAAGCAACTGTGAATTGTTGAAGATAATTTTGGGGTAATACATGCCCAAAAGGAAGTTATGAAATAACTGAGAATCCCCAAAATGATGAAACAGATATAACAAACAAAAGGGGGTGATAACATATAAACATGGTTGACTGGAAGTGAAATGTGGCACATAGGGGGTGTACGGTCTGCACACCCTATCGTGACAAGTACAGGTCTTGCCAACACTAGAAAAGGTGTGTGAACATATCCATGAAAGTCTCTGCAGTCATTGTTCAATAACATAACACATGTCTCTGGCACACAATGCATCAGGAAACTAATTACCATGTGAGGTTACAACCGTGCCATGGCCAGCTGGGCTTGATAGATGCTCCGTTGTTCTGTGCGTATGTAGCGGTTGTAGCAGTCCGACGACCAACGTCCCAAGGTTTTGATCATATGATCTGGAATGCCTGCCGTTGCTGCAGTGGTGGCTGCACCAATTCTAAATGAATGTCCATTGTCATTTGTGTGGTCATACCCGGATCTGTGCAACACAAGTTTTAGAAGGTCAATGAAAAACTTCCTGTCCATTGCTACATCATTAGGCATGAGGAACAGCGGATCTAAAGGATTTGACGTCCTCTGGTTGCGAAGAACAAGGTATTGCAGGAGGGTCCTAACTAGGCAGCATAACGGGGCCTCGTACAGCCTGTGTAAGGTGATGATGACGCCTTTCCGGAATGGATCTGTCTTTGAAGCCTTAAGACACACAAACGCTGTAGAAAGCTCATTGTTAAATGAAACAGAGTTGATAGACAAGTGTATATTGTTGGGTTATAAGCGTCACAGGTGAATTCGCCACATCTCATGAAAGCGAAGAAAGCCATACAACAGGCCGTCTTCATGAGTAGATCAATATATGGGTTAAACACACCTTGGTTTAGCTTGATGCACATATCTGAAAGTACTGTAATTGAGATTGGCAGTCTGGTCCTGGAGGAACTGCCCTGCAGCTTTTTGATAGCCTTGATGATTGTCTCGAGGCATCTGTGAATAGGCTAAAGTCTGGGGCACTGATAAAATGGTCCATAAACATTGTGACTCCATTGCAATGTTGGAGAAAGAATCTCCACATTTTAAGGTCCTGTGAACACTGTTTGTTAAGAGAGACCATATGATGTAGTTCTTTGACTGAATGCGCTTTTCGCAACAGGTAACTCATGAAGGACCTGCCCGGGCGAATAACTTAGTTCATGTGTCCAAGGAGTACTAGGAGTTGTCTCTTGCACACTTTCGTCTTCCCTTCAATGGAATCCATGACTTGAATCAGTCTATCAACTTCCTCGTAGGGAAGATGGGATTCCATTCTGATAGTGTCAAGGGTAATGCCTAGATAATCCACGCGCTGGGAAGGACCTACGGTTTTCTTTGCCGACAGTGGAATGTTTAGGTCTTTGAAGAGTTGCATCAAAGCTGCCATAGTCTTTACACCTTTGTGTAGGCAGTTCTCGAAGCATATAAAATCATCCAGGAGATGTAGAATGTTTTGAATGCCATAGTGTTAGGTTGCTACCCAGCAAACAGCCTGTGATAGGAGGTCAAATATCTTGGGGCTAGATCGAGAGCCAAAAACTAACCTGGTGTAAAAGTAGTACTTGTCCTGCCAATAAATGCCATGGAGATACCACAAATTTGGATGTATAGGGATTAACTTGAATGCATCAGTAATATCAGTTTTACACATGTAAGTGGCCTAGGGCTTTGATGATGTTGATATCATCGTCCACGCGCACATATGATAATGAATAGTCCTCTTGTCAATGAGAGAGTTCAAACTGGGATTGTCTTGATCATTGTGCGGG